TCCAGACTGGAATCAAATTTTGTGTTTTTAGATGAATTGTTTAATCATGTCTATGAAATGAGGATCAATGTCAAGTCTGCCCCCACAGGATTTTTATGAGGCGGGAGAGAAAAATGATGGCCTGATAGTGTGCTCTACCATCTATGTAAGCACAGTCCTTTGAGCTGTGAATGTGATTATTAAGAGTCTTTGGACCCTCAGGATTGACATCATAAAGCCTGAAGGTTCTGTGCCATCACACTTTTGCATGGCTCCATGAATGCCCACTCTACTGCAGGCACTTTGTTGCTGCTTTGGACATCCTTACACTTTGGTACATTAGGATATAAAATCCAGTTTCACAGGATACTTGAACCTTTTCCAGAGCCTATCACAATGCACTTGAGGGAGACAGAGAAATCACAGCACATCCCAAAGAACAAGGATCAACAAAAACATCCAAATATACACAGTTATTTTGACCTTGTGTCTCAGGACCTGTATTCAGTTATATTTTTCCATCACTTTTTATCAATGAATTCTATGAGCAGAAAGGAAATATGTATAAAATGTGAATAAGATAAGCCTGTGTGGGACAGTAGATACGATGGATGGAAACAGAAGTATTTATTAGAGTGCACTCTTGAAAATGTTTCATACTGCAGTCACAGAGGACATCCATCTTTGCAACATCTTCAGCATAGGTCATCATCATCTCCTAAAGCCACTAATATTTCACAACATCTAGCATAGAGTGGTGCTTAAATGGTGTTTAAATCTTAAAAAACATGTAAGGCCTATGCCTATCCATATTATTCCTAATAAAATGTGGCTGCCCAATTCAGCAGTAACTAAGAATTGGGAGGCAATTCCCTATATTGCCCTGTAGTTACAAGAGGACACTGTGTGACTGCATAATTCTGGTGAAAACCAAAACAAATGAGCAAAGGCTTTTAGAAAAGCGACCATTGGTGGGGCTTGAGGTTGTTCCTTTGAAAAATGCCCCCCAAAAGTTACAATTCAAACAGGACATGATGGTTGTTTGCAGAGACAATTAAGGTTTAATGTGGGAAAAAGAAAGTAAAATTGTGTTTATTGTAACAAATAGCATCTGGGCCAGTGGGTAGGATTAAAGGAAGCATATTTGGAGCACTGTCTAGAATATGCAGCACTAGAAAACAAAATGGTGTTTCCTGTGCATTACAGTCTAGGCTGAAATTGGCAGAGACACTGTAGGTAAGCTTCTTAACATAATCCAGGAGGCATAATTACATAATAGTTAAGTTCACATTAAAATCTAAGAGTTCAATATTCACTGATTTAATCTTTGCAGCCTCAATTTATTATGAAATTGAAGGCATGTGGTGTTACGCAGAGAGCAGATGTCCATAATTGTGTTTACGTGTACTGAAAATAAAAGGGCAATCTGCATTCATTAGACATTCACACATAGATGTATACAACCATACAAATGTATACACACATACACATATACATAACACTCATTCACATACACAAAACACATACTAAATATATAAACACAAATGTACATACACATATATACATAATGCACATATACTGCATATGTACACATGTATACACACAAATACACATACACATCACACACATAAATACAGACATTGAGAAAATCTATTTAATTATTTAAGTCTAAACAGTAGAGAAAGTTTTACTTCTTTTAGTACTATTTATATTCATGATGAAAGAAATCTATAAAGCAATCAAAGATCTACCTTAAGCCCCCACTCTGAAGCAAACAATTAGGTCAAAAACTCCCACAGTGGAAATGCAAAATAGCATTGTTATGCTAATACACTGTTAAAAATATACAAACTCAGAGAAAATAATGCATCCAGATTGAGGAGGAACATGGGGAAAGTGTGAATGTACTGACATCAGATGACTAACAGGAGAGTATTGTACATACACACCAACAAAACACACACAAATTAAGGTGAGGATATAAAAATGAAGAAGGGGCAATGCAATGGAATCCAGTGGGTGTTTGATTTACACTGTGAGTTTTAAAAATACATCATGATATAAAGAACAATCAAAACATATTACAACATGAAATCCCATGATAGTTTAAAAATATTTGCAGAATTTAATTTATAAAGAAACAAGCAGAAGTAACTGAGCATGATGAAATGAATCACTAGCAGGGTTAGTAAAGGCGGCTCAGAAAGCGAAATCCCATGCTACCAAGCCTGACGACCTGAGTTTGAGCCTAGGATCCATTTAGTGGACAGAGAGAGCCAACACTCTATAGAGGGTCTGACCTTCACAGCATGCCATGGTAATCTTTACACAGCAGAAATAAATAAATATACAACATACTGTTTCAAGAATCACTAACAATGATTTTGTAAAACTGTCAGACAGTACTTCTCATGTCAGATACATAATAAATATTAGATGATGGAAGTCACTTGGTTCATTGTAAGAAATAGAAACATTGGTTTTTTTCTACAGCTAGCAGATATGGATAAATATAAAACTACTGAACAAAATGATTTCATTATTAAGAATATTTTACTAAGATAGTATAGATTCATGAATGCATTTTACACTGTTATACTTCCCATGTAAGCAAAATATAATTATTTGAAAACAAATACGGCATGTAATCAGAAAGGCGAAGGTGTGTGCTCTTGAGAGCACCTACATAAACACAGTGGATTCAGGATCTATTGTTACTGTCAACCCAGTGGTGGATCTAAGTGCTGCTATCTAATTAAAGATTCCTTGGAGATGGAGCCTAGGGCTGTGGCAAAGAGCTAAAAACACTTTCAGTTGCTGAATATACAATGATTTGAACCCAAAATAAATGGTAATGATATTAGATAATAAAACAAAAATAAAGAAGCATGTACAAGTCCAGAGTGATAAAAATGATTAGTTGGATAAGTAATGCCTTGGAGAAAGGGGACTATTATAAAATTAGAAGTCTAACTTAAATGAGAATATACATGGAGTTGATGAATTAAATATTCAAAGACTTGTGTGTTAATTATAGCATTAGTATAATAAATGAATATCTAAAAAGCAGTTTCCATTTTGCTAAATTAGTTTACAATCATTAAAATCTCATTTCCCCAAAACATTTATGGGAGAATACTGATATGTAAGCCATAAAAACATACATTTTATTTATGATGTGTATCCCAGCTTATTTGAAGTACATTTTTGAGGGTAAGTGTGTATCTGCTTGCAAACATAAGAATGGTTATATCCAGTTGAAATAAAATTAAAAAGTGCTTGGAATCCTATCTACTACTTTTAAGCAAACTCTGTAATGTATTGTCTTTGTGCATATGATTCCTTCATATAGACAAATTAGGGAACATAAGCACATGCCTCAAATATCTCTTTCAAGTTGATGGCCTCTAACGATGATCTATCTGTCCATCCATCCACTATCTAATTAGCTGTCAATTTCTGTTCTTTTCTCTTAGATACTGTCAATACAAGCCTCTATTCATCCACTTATACAGTTACATGAATATGTGTGTGCATCTATGTGTCCCTGCACGAAAATATACAGAATAATGCTCAGAATCAAGCCTTCTTATATTAGAACAGCTAACAAAATGTCCTCAGAATAATATAAAAGTTCTGTATCATGCTGCATTCTGTTCAGGAACAGTGAGAGATAACAAGCTCTTAAGTATCTGAGAGTAAAAACTGTCATTTTGGGAATTTGTAAAAGTAGGTGAGACTGTATCACACTCTAAAGCAGTGGTTCTCAGCCTTCTTAATGCTGCGAACCTGCAATATATTTCCTCAGAATGTGGTGACCTCCAGCCACATAATAATTTTTTTGCTTCTTCATAAATGTAATTTTCCTACTGTTATGGATCATAATGTAAGTATCTGTGTTTTCCAATGGTCTTTTGGGGATCAGGCCCCACAGGCTGAGAACCATTGCTATTTTATTTTATTTTTTAATTTTTTTATTTTAATTAGAAAGAAAATTATTATACATGTCAATCCCAGGTCCCTGTCCCTCCCCTTCTCCCCTGCCCCCCCCAACTAACACCCTACCTATCCCATACCCTTTCTACTCCCCAAGGAGGGTGAGGCCTTCCATGGGGAGTCGTCAAAGTCTGTCATATTCGTTGGGATAGGGCCTAGGCCAACCCCCTTGTGTCTAGGCTCAGGGAGTGTCCTTCTATGTGGAATGAGCTCCCAAAAATCCATTCCTATGCTAAGGATAAGTACTGATTCACTACAAGAGGTACCATAGATTTCCAAGGTCTCCTCACTGACACCCACATTCAGGGGGTCTGGATCAGTTCCATGCTGGTTTCCCAGCTATCAGTATGGGGACCAAGAGCTCTCCCTTATTCAGGTCAGCTGTTTCTGTGGGTTTCACCAGCCTGGTATGGACCTCTTTGCTCATCAGTCCTCCTTCTCTGCATCTGGATTTAAGTTCAGTTCAAGGTTTAGCTGTGGATATCTGCTTCTACTTCCACCAGCTGCTGGATGAAGGCTATAGGATGTCATATGAATTAGTCATCAATCTCATTATCAGGAGAGGGAATTTAAGGTAGCCTCTCCTCTGTTGCTTAGATTGTTAGTTGGTTTCATCTTTGTAGCTCTCCAGACATTTCCCTAGTGCCTGATTTCTCTTTAAACCTATAATGTCTCCCTCTATTATATTATCTCTTATCTTGCTCTCTTCTGTTCTTCCCTCAACTCAACCTCCCTGCCCCATCATGTCTTCCTCACCCCTCCTCTTTTCCCCTTCTCATTCACTGCTTTAAAGGGTGCTTTATATGAAAGAAAAAAATCAACATGACAAGCATCCCTGAAATCACAACCACTGCAACTTGACAAATAGCCTCCCGTCATCCATGCCAGCACACTGTAAAGATCACTGTAAAGTCCTGTCACCAGCCCTTTCATCAAAGGCACAATTGACTCCTCTCTATCTCATTTCACCACAGTTTTCTCCTTTTCTTAATTCAGGCAATGATTGGTGAAAATCGACTTCTTACCCTTTGGGTGAGATGTGATGGAATCCTCCAGGGAAGCTTCCATGTCCCCATCTTGGCTGCTGCTGCCTCCACCACCTTCTTTGTTGTGACCATCTCTCTCAATCAGTTTGTCCACGGTAGCGATAATGCAGTTCAGGCTCTTCCCCATGTTGGCCCATACCCTATCCTGAAGATAGCATTGGTGTCACTACAGACTTTACTGCTAGATCATCACATTAACCACTTAGAGAAGCAGCCAGAGGTACAGTCATCAGAGTATTAAGAGACTATAATAGTCTCACTACTTGCGTCTGATTTCAGATACCTACAAAATCAATTTTCTCCTCATAAATTCAAGGTTAAATTTCATTAATTCTTTAGTTAATATAGTATGTTTGAAACAATAAATTGTTATATCACATTAGCCAATAATTGAGTATAAATTGTGACATTTTACTAGATACAGGTCTTCTTTATCTACGCAATAAAAAGCAAAGACACAATAATATTTTAAAGAAACTATCACATCGGAAAATTTTGTTCTTATGCTGACATTCACATAACAGGAAAACTTGTAAACTTAGGTGTGCAGCACTGCTAGTAGTCTTCTTTCCTTCCTTCATTCCTTCTTTCCTTCCTTCCTTCCTTCCTTCCTTCCTTCCTTCCTCTCTCTCTCTTTCTTTCTTTTTTGTTTTTTTGAGACAGCAGAGTTTGTCTGTGTTTCCTGGCTGACCTGGAACTTGCTCTATAGACCAAGCTCTAACAAAGAGATCCGCCTACCCCTGCCTCCCACCTGATGGGATTAAAGATATGTGTCACCACTGCCTGGCATGCACTCTCATCCTTATGTCTCCAACATCTACTTCTACAATATGTTCATTTGCTTAAACTAAAATCTGTCGCTATTACAGATAACAACCTCCAATCTCAAAACATTTCTGACAACAATATCCTTAGATCTAAGGCTTTTCATGTGTGTGATGCACTGCAGATACACAACTCATGGCATTTTTAATTTCCTGGGAAATAACTCATGTTTCTAAGGGGCCTCTCTGCCACTGGTGTCCCTAGCTATGACAAGCTTGTACTTTTTGAATTCATTGATTCATAAAAACTGCATTAAATTTTAAATAAATGTTTTAAACATAGTTGGTTTGATAGAGGAGACCAGTCTCCCTTCTTAATATTCCTCTTACATAAGCTGAATACATAACTTAGACACCGATGAAAGTGATGATTCTGTCTCTCTATATAGACATGAATCAAATGGATTTGTGGTGTTCTCCATGCAGACAGGAGTTTTAGGTGGCTACTTCTATGCTGCTTAACATAGAGCCAAATATAGCAAATACTGAATACTCGCACACTATCACTGGTTTATACATTTTTCCATAAGTGTGTATTTTGTATCTAAGTTAACTTTGTAAATGAACTGATTTGGAAGAAGGCAAGTGTATGAAGAAAAAGCTATAGCTGAATTTAGATTATTTGATTGTTGTCTTGTAAAAGTTGAGCAATCTATCCTTGTGGATTAGATACATAGTTGGTCTGCTTAGCTGGGAAAATAACAGCATTTTCTATTAAAGAGACATTCAAAGTGAGAAAGGTAATTCTGAGGATTTATGCAACACATAAATGTGGGACTATGGACAAAGTCCTCGTTCTGAGGACGCACTTGTCACCTACAACTTGGGCTGATAATTCTTGTGTTACCTCCTTCACCATGATGCTGCCAGAGCCAATGGTGCACTGTGCCTTTGTGTGAAAGTGTTTAGGGAAATCATTACAATTTAGCAGTTCCACTTCCAGCCCAGCCTGGCTTCCCTGAATGAGTCAAGCTTGATTTCTTTCACCCTGCAATCTTGCAGGAGAAGTATGCTATTAATCACAAATAATCATAACAATCTTTCCACAAGAGGCAGATCTTTCCTTCAAAGCACTGAAGAATTTCCCCTCTCCGGGAAATTAAGACACTAATCACATCTGTGGATTACATCATCCTCTGCATGCTGCCTGGGGAAATGAGGCACAGGTGCCCCTTAGCTAGGAGGGAGCTAACTGTGCAGGAAATACAGGGCAAAGTAAGTAAGAAGCAGGAAGATCAGGCTCCCTTCAGCTTTGGATTTAGTGGTGAATCTACCTTTCAACCACAGTGACTTACTGAATGACCTATGATTGATTGATATATCTTAATGGCTACCACCCACTGTAACTATAAAGTAATAAAATTAAAGCATGAAGCAATTCTCTAGCTGAGCCTGGAAATAAACTCTGTTACTCAGAAGCAAGAAAGGAACAGATTCTTCTCAAATTTTCAGATTAGCTTTGCATAGAAGACAAAATTTCAGTTCTCTCTGTGTCACCCATGTTGAAGGAAGCTTATGTTTTCTGATTGTAGAGGCTCCTAGCTGCCTTTACTATGTAAAGGGATACCAGACATGACTCATTTACTCTTAATTCTGTCTCTGAAGACACAGAAGACAAAGATATTTACAAAGTGGTTTGATAGCCACATCTCTATATAGTTTTCCATTATGTATCCCAAGATTACAAGATTCCACTAGTAGAGAACATGACTTCAGTTGCACACAGAGGCACAGGTTTTGACCTGAAGAGCACAGTAGAGCTTGCTCACTGACCAAGAGACACAGGAATACAGTAATTGTGACAAATAGAAGGCACATATCGAATATTCATATTCAGAGGACATTTCCTGAGACTGAGAAATGAACAATCTCTATGCAATCATTTTCTCTAATGAGTGAATATCAAAGTGTTATTAGAACAGCAGCAAACCCTGGTCAGATACATTCCATTCTTCATTTTTGGAAAGGGAATCTGACTACTGAAGGTGGGAAAATGTGCTCTGCTCATCACTGTCTTCTTTTTTATGGCCTCTGCAGATTAAACTTGCTGATTTGTACCTTCCTCTAATGTTAGACTGTAATTTCTTTGAGAATTCTGCCTTCACCCTCTAGGACAGAAAAAGTATGAAAAGACAGGAGGAAATAAAATGGGGGTGGTTATTGTCTATATTAATCTAGCACCTATAAACTAGTTAATTTCATCTTCAAAAACACCAAATAAATACATATTTTGGACTCAGTTTTCTGAAAGATAAGACTTTAGATAAGAGAGGAATAATAACACCCAATATTAATGTGGAAAAAATAACTTCATTTCCCTTGACTCCAAAGACTTGATTCCTCCAATGAGTTCCCAGATAATGATGGTTACTATCCCACATGCCAGATAGGACAGAATCAGGAGATTGGAGGCTCCCACACAGAGTCAGTGAGACAGATGCCATTTCACAGTGGTAAGATTAGCTTTCAAGTATCTGCGATTTGGCATGAGACCAATAGAAACCATATTAAAAGGCATCCAACCAAAAGAACAGACCAGTCACCCATACCTGTAAGTATGATACAAAGGTGTTAAGGAAGCAGGACTGAACAAGACTTTTAGCAATTGTCCATTGAGCTACTTCAACAAACATAAGTGGGTTGGCTAGCCGAGGAAGAGGATGGGCTCCAGATCCATTTCCTAAGTGGGATATGCAGAAGATCAAGTAGTACAGAGAGGAAAGATGATAATTCAATTATGAAGCAACTGCAGTTCATCATTTTTGAAGCAGGACACTAAAGACTTATCGGCCAGATTCTTGAAAGAGAACCTTGGGAATCTGAGTCCTCTCCTAAAAGAACCCATTCCCTTAGATCTGAAAACACACATAGAAGACAGTGACCAACAAACATACTTTCTCATTTGGATGGTTATTCCTGTGCAGGTCTGTGGGTCATCCTCATTGAGCAAATACTTCTGACTTGATGGGACCCTACTCCTTTCACTTCTCTCCTGCAATCACAGTGTACATTTACGTTTTTTCCCAGGTTGAAGAAAGGATGCCGAGCGGTCGCACAGAGCTGTGAAGTTAATCCACATCTCTTCACTTTTCAGGCCAGAGGTACTAAACTAAACTTGAATTCTGTGTGGCTCTCCTGTGCAACAGAGCTTTGAAAACAAGTACTCTCCTTCAGAGATATAGCTTGGAAGGCCATTCCCCAGAAATAACAGCAAATGCCCTACTGTGAAGAAGCACTAGAAGGTTGGTGGTTTACAGGAGCCTGAACTTTAATAGATGTCCTGAACCTTCATGAAGACTCCAGGACTACCCTTCTCCTGGGAGGTGAAGTGGCTGTAACCTTTTTGAGTTACTGAGGGCACAAAGCAAGAGGAAAGATATGGCAAAATTGACTCCATTCTAAAATCAGGTGCTGATCTAGGCCCTCATTTGTTTGTGGGTTAGGGTGTAAGCAAACATAAAGATCAAACCCAGTGGCCTAACTGAAAAAAAGTTGGATAGATGCAGTGGCATGTAACAGGGGGGACATTACAGTTGCCAGAGTGAACCTTGAGGGTAGGAAGCAGAGTGATTACTTAGCATCCCATATGCTAATATACTCTGCAGCATCAAGAAAGAGCCTGGATCAATAATGAACTTTGAAAAGAGAGCTCAGTAATGCTTAGGTGATCAACTTTTATGAGGCCAATTTTTGATCAGCAAGAATGGGTTGAATAGGAACTACCCCAGACTAAACATGTTCTTTAACATGACAAATCTCTGCACCTTCTATGTATAGGTAGGTCTTCTCTCTGAACCTTAATTTACACTATTAGTTAACATGAGTTGCAAGTAAGATGTTCTATGCAGCAACCAGCACATACACGACCTAGGATATATAGGGCTCAAACACTTATCAGTGTAGACAAGTTCACTACAAATACTAAGGCTCATGACAACCACTGGAATGAGAGCAGTGTCCTGAATTTGACACTTACAGATCTCCCTGCTTTACTGCAACTCAGCTGCCACACATGTCCCAGCAACCAAAGTGAGCCTGGAGTTCATTCATGACCTTACCCTGAGTTCCAGACTGTGTTCACACTAATAGTCTCAAATAGCCACCATTTTGCAAGTGATGACCTCTCCATATTCATTCTTCCTGTCCAGGTCCTTGCCCAGTCTCACAGTCAGGTTGAAGTTAGGCCTGGCCAAAAGCACTGCAGTCATTTTCATCCATCGCCCTGACTATTGCACCATTCCTGATAAACAGAAAGCTTGGGGCCAGAGCAGTACTGCACCTTTTCTCAGCCTGGAACTCCTTGGATAGCCAGGAAGAAAAG